ATTGCCCATTGCCCATTCTTCATCTTGCCTGCTCCAGTGGGTGGTGAATGTGGTGTCCGAGGTCGCGGTGTCGCGGTCCCGTCGCGGTACGTGCATGACATGGCGAGGCGCATAGTGGCACATGTCTGTCCCAGTTCTTCCTTCTTCCATTTTGGAGCGGGCGGAAGGCGGGGAGGCTGGGCCAAATGCCTTACTCACTGCAATATTGGCCTGCAATGCAGCTGGAGCACTAGTCTTGTAAGCGGGCTCCGCGGGTCGTCCTGCTTACTAAGGATACATAGCCCTATCGGGGCTGTACATGAGGTGGAAGTACCGTTGAGTCTCGCGCAGTTCTCCCCCACCGCGGGATTCGCCTGCCGAGTCAGAGAAGACCCCCCCGGAGATGTACTTGGCTGCTGGGTTCTCGGTGATGGTTGTGATGGCCGGTCGTTGGATCGCAGAAACGCGCGAAATGGAGCGACGCCCAGCAGGACGAGAATGCGTGAACCGGAGCCAAGGGCATTGGCGTTGGATGGCCTAGTGTTCCAATCCAACACAATTAGAAGTTTCCAACATCAAATCCAAGACAAGCCGTCCGGTTCTCCGACGTCATCTCCCAAGTGAGGAAAGGCCGTTCGGAGACAAGTGACAGTCAGTGGTCGGAGGGGCATGTGGCGCCTGTCTTCCCCCCTTAACCCCTGTAGCCCGTTTTGCGGCGTTGGCACTCTGAGGTGAGGTAGACTCTCGCCTGGGCGTGTAAGGGACGGTACTTGGCTCGTGCTAGGGCCAGCTCCCTCCCACGGGCTCGAGGCCAAGCAGCAGCAACACCAGCGGCAGTAGTCGGTCTTTCGATGCCAGACCACTGAGACCCGGCCAGCCCAGCCCAGCCGTGCCAGCAGAATGGCAGCCAAGCAGGCTCAAGCAGCGTGTGGCAATGGCAAGGCAGGTAGCGAGCGGCCAGACTCCGCGAGAACCGCGACGGGAAATGGGACGTGGAATAAAGTCGTGGTTTTTGTGATGGTCAGAAATAACCCCTCTCCTCTCCAATTTGCGTCCAGAGCATGTTGCTTCCCCACTTTGACGGCTGCTGCTGCTGGTATTGCCCGCGCGCTCCGTGCATGCCCTGTGGGTGGGATTTGGTATTGGCCTTAGAGTCGGGCCAGGAAGGGTAGGTACTTGGGAGGTCGGGTACCTCCTTACCACATCATGTACCGGGAGGGTTCTGGGTAATGTAATTCCCGTCATTCCCAAGATTGCGTCCAGTATCGGTAGAGAATGGGGAGGGGAGCCACTTCGGCGCAAGCACAAGCAGGGACACAAACATCAACTAAAGCCAAGAGGCAGGAGCCAAGCAAAGAAGAAGAAGAAGCACCTGCCCTCATCTGCAATCTGATTCTGCAGTGCCAAAGACAAGGCAAGTACCTAGAGATAAACTACCGAGTCGGTAGGTGCGTTTGACAGGCAAAGCTGAGGTGAGGTGAGCCCGTGACGGGAGGTGGAAGGACCGGGGCTGGATGCGACCGCGGGAGGGAAAGGGCGCAGGAACGGGAAGGAGAGGAAGGCGCAGATGGAGATTGAGGAATTGCATCTTGTTGCATCATCAGGATGACCGGCACCTTCCTGACCTCGACTACTTCGTGCTGCTGACCAGATGACTGGTTGGCTGGACCAGACCTGTCCTGCCCTGCCTGGCCTGGCCTGATCTGACTTGGCCTGACGCGCGAAGTGCAACCCCACAAGCTGAGACTGAGGTTCCTTCCTTCCTTCCTTCCTTCCATATTCGAATGGAACGGGACACAAACCCAACTCGTTGTTCATCCGCCTTTGCCTTTCTTTTCTCTGCTGCGCGGCTTTCACGGCGTTGCCCTGCCTGCTTGGGCCTCAGCCAGCTCGTTTGTTGGTCGTGCCAACTGCAGGCTGACTTTGACTTTGGCAAGTCTGGCTTATTGTGTCTGAATCATCTCACGCATTGCGCCTGTTGTAAATGCCTACCCCCATCCCGAGGTACTCGGTCCTCATCTAATATCTCAGGTCGCGGTTGGTTGGCGCTGTCTGGCGGGTGAGGTCCGGTCAGTTGGCTATTGCTGCGCTACAGTTGCCTTTGGCTGAGCCGGCCGTTGTTGCTGTTACTCCTTCTGTCGAGCTGTTGCCGCCCTGCCGCCCTGCCGTGTGAGCCCTTGCCTGTTCATTCGAACCTTGCCTTGCTTCCTCTCCTATTTCCTTCTTGGATAATCTCGACTTTCTGATTGTGCGCGCAGACGGGACATGGGCAGGTGGTGCAGTGCAGGTACCAGCCCCCCGTTGCAGGTACTTGAAAGGAGGTATCTACTTTGAGTTGCTGTACCTGCCCTACCTTATTTCCTATCCAACCACGCATCAGGGCAGAAAAGGCCCCGGACGAGGCCAGCCAAACACCTACCAACCCAACGCTTTACTTCGGATGGTCGAGCAAATGTATCCGTACGGCGAGTACGGCGTAGATGCGGCGAGCACATTGCTGCAGATGTGACTGCATCGGCGAGGTGACTGAGGGGAGTTGATGTGCGTAAAGTGCCCAAGGTGCCTTAGGGGTGCTGCGGACCATGAACCGCCTGCTGCGCTGCATCGCGCCGTACCTTGCCTGCGTGACGACCATGTCCTGGGGGATGGGATGCGTGTGTGTGATGTCTGTCTGCTTCTTCGCTTGTTTGCTGCTCTATTGCTTGCCTGCCCTTCCTGCAGGGCCCCCGCTATCCGCTCTCGGCTTTCAAAGCCACAAGCATCACTCTTGACCTCATCAGAAGGCGCGCTCTCAGCTTCCCCACGAACGACGGGAGTCCTCGATACGACACACGGTACGACACGGTTTGACACGACAGCCAGCAGCCATCAGAGGCTAGCATCTGCCCTCCTCCCGTCTCCTTTAGCAGCCTTGCCGTGATCCAACAGGCACCCAAGGCGCCGTTGGCAGGTACCTGACCGTGCTGACCTGACCTGACTTGACCTTCCCCTACCTACCCAAGGTACTTACCTGCCCCTACCTTACCTCACCTATCCGCACCTTCCCTAGGTACTTTACCCAATAATTACTCTTTCCTTCTCAGCCAGCGAGACAGAAGTACCTCCCAGCCCTAGCTGGGCCACAAGATACATCCGTTCCCCTTCCACGCCGCCTGCCCAGTCCCGCACGCACTCTACGGCGGTACACGTCCATTTCCACCGGTCCCACGTCCTCTCCTCCCCTTCTGCCCGTTCAGAATACTGCCACCACCCTTGCCGTACCTCTCTCTCTCCTCTCCCCTCCCATCCCCTCCCCCCCCCCCCCCCGGTGGTGACGAGGTGAAGATACATCCACCACACCCCCAAAGCCCCAGCTACTTGTCCATGAGGTACATGACCTTACCAGACTGCGCAGGTACTGCGTACCAGTAGGCATTACTTGCTGAGAGTGTCTCTCTGTGTCTCTCTCTATGCACCTTCCTTGCACCCCCAAACGAAACGCTCCCCTTCCACCTCTCTTCTCTCTTCTGGGAACATCATCCAGTTCTCTCACTTTTCTGAAAGTCGGCCTCACTCTTGCATCCTCTTTTCCTGTTGCTACTCGTGTCCTCGACAGACCAGCAACTCCGCCTCGTATCGCCCCCTAGAACAAGAGGACGTGGGAGACTGAAGATCAGCGCGGCAGAGCGAGCAGCAACAGCAGCAGCAGCAGCAGACCGTGTCGGCTCGCGGTGCACCCCCTTTAGACCCTTTCCCCCCATCGTTATTTCGTGGTCCACCGCCCGAGGCACCCCCCGTCCAGTCCTGTCGCTTTTGGGCCAACGTCCCCGATCTAAACTCCACACCCATCCTTTCGCCTCCTTCCACCGACGACATTCTCCCTCTTCCTCTTCAGAGGACCACCCGCCGCACCGCGAAGAGTCCTTCCTCTCCAACAAAACACCACACAACTTTGTCGAGTCGAATACACCGTCCCCCGCACATATTAATGCCTACTGTCGACTCCTTTGCACGCCGCTAGCAGCATTCTACTTGTGCCAGCCACATTTGCCCAAACCCCGAATCTCTCAACCTTCCACCCCCTCGTCTGCCACCACTGGAGCGAGATTCGACCACGCTGAGCCGTGTCTACCTCCTCGACTGTGTCTTGACCACCCGCCACCCTCGCTACTTCGCCCTGTACCTACTCTCGCCCCAATCCGCTCGCGACGACTCGGTTGACACGACGTCTTGATCGAATTTCCGACGCCCTGCTTCCGCTTCTGCCACCGCCGACTCGCCCTCGTCACGGAAGCTGAGCCAGGACTCGCTCCATGGAAAGTCGGGCGACAACCGCAGAATCGAAGCATACTTATCCGTCAAGTCCTTGGCTGCACCAGCCTGCGATATCCTCGAGTAGCGCAACGCTGAACCCTTGCCACTTTGTCGACGCCTCGTCCCGCGTCCCCGCCCAGGTCGATTTCTGGCCCCTTCTTTTCCCTCAGCAAGCATCTGTCTACCAAGCGCAGTTGCTGCACTACACCAATCTCGTCTCTCCGGGACGAGGAGGCGGCTTGCAACAACCACAACCGCTTCCTCAGGCGACAGTGGCGGCTCCTCACATTCAGGCGGCCCCCCGTTCTCGATCCTCCTCCAAGGTGTCGAACAAGGACCAACCCGCAACAAAAGGCACCCAAGGAGGCCATGGGAATAGAGTTGTGCAGAGCAAAGACAAAGGCGATCGTGCTGTCATAACAGGCAAGGACGCTCCGCCCAAGATGCAGCAGCCATCTCAGCCGGAGCTTTCGCATCCTCTGCCCGCTCGCCCTGGGGCGCGCCCTACCAATGGCCAATCCCACTCCAACTCGATGCCCTCCACGCCCCAACAACATGCTAGAAACTTCTCGTTCGAGTCGCGCGAGCCATCGCCTACCGCAACAAATAACCACTCACCCCGCTCTGCTTACTCCGAAACGAATAGCAATCTTCCCTCATTACGACCCCTCCCTCCTCGTTTGGGCGGTTGCCAATATGAGACGGCGCAGGTAAACTCGAGAAGGAGAATGCCCTATAGTTTAGGGAGCGACAAGCTCGAAAAGACGAACCTTGAGAAAATCAAGAGCAAGCTGTCGGAAGATGAAGAAAGGAAGTTGACCACAGATATGCGCGAGCTCTACGACAGGTTAATACCGACTGAGAAGGTTGAGGAGAACCGCAAAAAGCTTGTCGTCAAATTGGAGAAAATCTTCAACGAGGAGTGGCCGGGAAATGACATCCGCGTCAATCTCTTTGGTTCGTCGGGTAACCTGCTTTGCTCCGATGACTCCGATGGTTCGTATATTTCTTCTTATTTCCACTCACAACCATTCAGGCCTCAATACTGACCCGGATGCAGTCGACATTTGCATCACGACACCATGGAAGGAGATGGAGGGCGTTTGCATGATTGCGAACCTCCTCGCAAAGAGTAAGCTACTTCATCCATGATTCCCCAGTCATTTCTAATCGTCTCTGCAGAGGGCATGGAGAAGGTGGTCTGTATTTCCGCCGCGAAAGTCCCGATTGTCAAAATCTGGGACCCCGAACTCGGCCTCGCATGCGACATGAACGTGAACAACACTCTGGCTTTGGAGAACACGCGAATGGTGCGCACTTATGTCGAGATCGACCCACGAGTGAGGCCACTGGCGATGATTGTCAAGTACTGGACACGGAAGAGGATCGTGAATGACGCCGGTATGACTTGTCTGCTACTGCTTCAATACGCACCTACTGATCGAAATAGCCTTCGGCGGCACACTCAGTTCCTACACGTGGATTTGCCTGATCATCGGATTCCTGCAACTCCGCGACCCGCCAGTCCTTCCGTCACTGCACCAGCGACAACACCAAAGGCTCCCTAAGAAGGGTGGGCCGGAGAGCGCGTTTGCCGATGACCTCGACAAGCTTCGTGGGTTTGGCGACAAGAACAAATCTTCTTTGGGTGACCTTTTGTTTCAATTCTTCAGGTTTTATGCGCACGAGTTCGATTACGAGAAGAATGCCATCTCGGTCCGCCTTGGTCGGAAAGTGTCGAAACAGGAGAAGGGATGGCATATTGGTCTGAACAACTTCCTGTGTGTGGAGGAACCATTCAACACCGTTCGCAACTTGGGCAACACTGCAGATGAATACTCTTTCCGCGGCCTTCATCTCGAGTTGCGACGAGCATTTGATCTGATCTCGGAAGCCAAACTGGATGAGTGTTGCGAGCAGTACATTTACCCGAAGGAGGAGCCGCCAACTTTCCAAAGGCCCGCGCAGACTTCGCGTCCGGTCATGATTCGCAGTTCTTCGCAGCAGCATTCTGGCAGAGGAGGTGGCCGCGGCAACTACCGTGGCGGTCGTCATTCTAACAACTTCCACCGCAACGGAAACTCCAACCGGAGAGCGTCGTCGAGCGTTGCTTATGATACTAACACAATGTACATGCCGCAAGTAGCTGTCACACCGCAGGAGCTCGCCTGGTACACACAACAGCCGTCAGCTCACCAGCTTCAGTACCCCGCGCTTGTGAGTGCAGCCATGGCCGCCCAATTACAGCAGGAAAATAACCTTCGCATCCAGCTCTACAGCCAGTCCCAGGTATACCAGCAAGTACAAGCCCAGATGGCTGCGCAAATGCATGCTGCACAGAGAATGCAAAGCTCCAACGCAAACTCGCAGCAGGGCTCCGAGCGATCTAGGACCAACTCGTTCGACAACCCTCCCCTAAGTGCTCCCATCGCTGCTCCTGAATGGTACAGCATGTATGGTGGTGTTCCCTTCCCCGCTACCTACTACAACCAGTCTGGATTCACGTACCCATCCTCGCCTGCAACAACCACGGCGACACCGGAGTACCGTCGAGGACTGCAAAGGTCTTCAGTGACAACGGAATCCGGCACCTCGACGTCGGGAAGCTCGCTTAGGTCTCAATCGCAGCCTGCTTCGCGGTCTGGCCCAGCAGGACAACAGGCGCAAGGCTACCCTGGCTCCAGCACGCCAACGAATGGAAGCTCGCATCCGCCCCGCCAGGTCAATGGAGTTCCGATCCCGAGCTTCATCCCTGACGACGCTGATTACGACGAGGCGCCTCAACGGCCTGCAAGCAACTCGCCAAACTCCGACGATGGAGCTGCGTACTTGGGCTACTACGTTTCAGAAGCATCCAGTCCAGCCCGCTCTCAAGGTGCTCCCAATACACTCGCCTTGGGAGAACTTTCACAGCCAAGTCAAGGGCGCCGAAGACTTTCGACTGAAGTCCCGCAGACCATATTGGACCGCCGGATGCGAAGAACGTCACGCTCACCATCCCCTCTGGGCCATACTCGAACCTTTTCAACGAGCACGTCAGCCGCGAACGGGCAGTCATCAACTCCTCCCATCGCTAATGGACGGACAGCAGCAAGACCGTTGGTGGTCAACGGGACGGGCTCTTCTCTACGCACGAGCTCTACTCCCTTCCAGTCAGCCCCAGTACCCGACGCGACGCCGGCCGAAGACTCATCTAGATCGTCTCAGGAAACCCCACTCCAAGCTCAAGGCTTAGGAATTAGCGGTTTTACTACGGACCAGGTTGATGGTCAGCCTTCGTTTCGGTCTGAGCCTGTGAAGACACCTATTTCAGAGCGTCCCCCAGTGATTGTCAACGGCACGACCACACCCTCATCGATCAGCAACACTGCTGCCACGGCTTCGCCTGCTTCAGCGCCTCGACCTGTCGACGACCCTTCGTTTCGCGACAGAATTGCCTTGATGAATCAGTATGGGTGGTCACAGCAAGCTCAGGCGTCGCCGGAGGTTCCCGTCGGAAACCAAATTTCCCTGCAGCGAAGGGCTTTGCGACAGCAAAGTGGGGTGATAGCACCGCTCGATCTGGCGACCAGGGAGAACAGGATGAACGGCCACCAACTTAGCATTGATGCTCAACATCTCTCACCCATCAACGAGACACGTTCGCCTTCTCCGACAGTCGTGAGGAAAGGCGACTTCCAAGTGAAGAGTGATCTGCAAGGTGGCCACGCAGAGTCGACCCTGCCGGCTCACAAAGATAAGGGTCAGGTTGTGAAGGAGGCCAAGCAAAGTCAATCGACGCAATCGCCAAAGTCTCAGTCATCAAACGCGCAGCGCCAATCGGGTCAGCCCGCAAGAACAAACGGCAACCGGGAGAACGGCCATCGTGGCGGCAAGAACGATGGCCATGGTCACGACGGAGGATGGCAAAAAGCTACCAAGGGTCGAAAAAAGGGCGATGGGAAGAACCAAGGCAACGGATTCGTCTCCAGCGAGCTGCCGCCCAAGCATGACGCAGATCGTAAGGGTGGCTAAAGAAATGGATAAGCTGGCAGCTCACGAGCAAACGTTGTCTTGGGAAGCCAATGGGCGACGAGAAAAGCAAGCATTGCTTCGTTGGATATGGTCTGAAAGTCAGGAGGAGCTCACTCGGCGACTTTGGTCATGGACGCGTTGGACACGACTGTTCTGGATTGAGGAAATGTTCCCTGGCAGAAAGGCCAGTGGAAGTGTCAACAGGCAAACGCTGCGTTGAACGAGCCGCGAGGATGGAGAGGTGCTGTAAGAAGCGCCTTCCGCAGCCTCGATCATCAGCACCGGGACAGGCCTGATGGCGACTACGATAACGAGGACGAGCGGAACGGAACCAGCAAAAGTTACGGGTATCAGCGGGCCAGTGCATCTCAAGGGATTGTGCAGTGCTTGATCGAGCGTCAAAAGTCGTATTATTATGGCTCAGTCGTCATTTTCACCGATAAAAAGGTTGCAGGGGGTTCTTTCGCGTTATACCTGGGTGGCGGGTCTGATTATTTGTCTCATTGCATCTGCGGCAACGGTCTTCGGTATGGGTTACGGTTCAGGCATGCGTCATCAAGTTTCTTTTTGTCACAGAGTCATACCATTGGGTGGAAAGGTACATGAAGAAGATGCAAGAGAAGAGGGGGGTGGATGTGGATAGTACGAATGCTGTGTGTTCCCAGACGGCTGGAGACTGTCGCAAATACCCGACGGGGGAAGGCTGAGCTCATGTCTCCCAGAAAGGGGCAGAATGGAGAAAAATCCAGCATGGCCGCATTATAGGGGCGGAAAAAGATATCAACGACTAGTGTCAGTGTAAGCAGATAGACGGGAAGCGTTAAAAGACATGATTTGAAAAAGCCACCACGAGGATTTCTGTAGGACACCAGCAGGGGGCGACTCATGCGGCAGATCTTCATCAGTGCCTCGTATTCTTGACGTCGAATCAAAGATGAAGGTCCCACAAAAGAAGCACACGAAGCCATCACGAGGTGGTTGGTGCCGTGTCGTTTGTACTCCCAAAGAGCTCAGGGCGCCTGCCAGTGAGTCTCGAAATTACGTCATCCGGACGTGTTGCCCCAGGTCCCATCCTCAGCCTTACACCGGCTGGCCCTGTACAGATAGATACCTTCTGTGCCGTACAGTGTGTGCTCGGTGACCGATCCCTGCTTGACACAGCCAGATCCGACGGCCCCCAAAACGTCTCGTATTTTCGGCAGCAGGTGCCTGGCGGCCCAGGAGGCGGGAGCGCGCTGTCGGCTGCGACCCATGAAACACAATCTGATGTCCGTCTGTTTCGCTGCGACTGTCTGGTGTTGGGTGCCGGGTGGGAGCCGTTCCCTTGGGATGCAGCGGTTTTTGTGGGTGAGGATGTGTTTGTACGATGGGGACGGGATTTAGGATGGTGTTCTGAGGAAGAGGGGCAGTTTACAAGTTAGCTTGAATGGATTGTTGAATTTGATGTTTGAAATATCGAGAAATGTCCAAAGGCAGCATAGCTGTTGATAACTCGAAGTTTACTAAGACAAGTTGTCTCTTGCTCAAAGTCATGAGCGTTCACACAAACAGAAGAACTTGATTCAATGAAGAATATGAAAACAAATTGTTTCTCGAAACCAAAATCAAAAATCGAGAAGTAAGAGCAGCGAGCTTGACTCCTCATTTCCACTTTTTCTCCCAGACACAGAGAGAGAAAAGAGAGGGAGCGCGTATGTGATTAGACCGTGCCGGAAGGATGCGCTAGAGTCCGGTGCTTAGTCCCGGGGATGAGGGGAGCTACCAAGTAGAACGGCAGACCGCTAAAGACCAACAACCCCCACCATCGCTTCCTCGATGATTTCGACCCCCGACTGCGCAGCATTTCCTCACATCAAGATTTCATGCCGGCGATGGCTTCTGCAGGGCACCAGCAGCACTACCGCAGCCACAGCAGTGCTTCCAGCGGGTCGTTCAATGAGGCTTCGTTTAATGGGGCGCGCTCACCACACCTCGGCAACGACAACGACGACGACGACGACGACGACGCTCATGCCGCCTCCGACTCTGGGATCACGGTGCCCGAATTGAAGGCCAATTGGAGGCAGATCCAGGAGCTCACACGATGTGTCGGCTCGACGCTGGACGAGAGGGGGTGTGATGCTGCGTTCAGGGAGTACGCCAAGGTCAAGGAGCACGCGGAGCTCTGCCGGTCTTTGATGAGGCGGCGGCGGCGGCGGCCGTCGTCCTCTGCGGACCGGGCGGTTATCGATCCGCGGTCACCGCTCAGCAGGAGGAATCTGGCTCTGTCTTGGAACGTGGAGCTGGATGAGGGAGAGGATCATTCGGAGGCGGCGCCGAGCCGCGAGGCGTGTTTGGCTGCGATCCGGGAGTGGAAGACGTGCATGGAGGCGGTGATGGGCGCGCTGCGGGCGTCGCTGGCGGCGACGTATCGGAGCCACGAGCCCGGGGCCACGGCGGAGATGACGGAGTCGTTGTTTAGGGACGTTGACTTTCGGGCGTCTGCGATTCAGGAGATGCGGAGGGCGAGGATTGACGGCGGCGGCGGCGGGTTTTCGAGGGCGAAGTACGACGTTCGGTTTCGGAACCTGGACCGCATGGAGAAGGAGGCTATTGAGATTGCGAGGGTGCTGCAGAGCGGGGAGGCCGGCTGTGGGTTCGAGGACGGGAGGGCGGGAGAGGTGGAGGAGGTGGTGATCTCGGCGGCCGGGGACGCTGTGCTGGAGTTCAACAGCGAGGGGGAGGTGAGGAGGTTCCGGGTGTCGAGCGCGATGCTGGCGGAGACGTCGCCCATCTTTGAGCGGATGTTCACGGGGCGGAGGAGGCTGGAGGTCGGCCCGGGCTGGGGCGACGACGACGCGGACCTGGAGGGGGAGCTGCCGCCGCTGCCGCCGCTGCCGCCGACGGAGGGGTTCGTGTGTGGGGACGGGAGCGTGGCGCGGCTGTACAGGATGCCGCAGGCGGAACGGGATGAAGAGGGGGCGCTGGGGATTCTGCTTGCGGCGGCGCACATGCGCAACGAGGCGGTGCCGCGGGAGGTGAGCTTCGCGCGGTTCGTGGCGGTGGCGGAGGCGTGTCTGCGGTACCGGTGTACGAGCCCGCTGGAGCTGGTGGTCGAGCACCGGTGGCTGCCGCGGTGGATCCACATGGGCAGCGAGGAGATGCCGGACGGGATGCTGGTGGTTAGCTTTGTGTTTGGGTTCCGGCAGCTGTTTGCGCGGATGAGCAAGACGGCGGTGCTGAATTTGAGGAGTGAGGAGGAGTTGAGGGCGAAGAGGTGGCCTGAGAGGGTGAAGGAGAGGGTTTGGGGGGTGAGGGAGGTGAAGATGGGACAGGTTGAGGGGGTGTGTAGGGAGGCTTTGAGGGAGTACTTGAGAGGGCCTGGAGGAGGAGGCGGCGAGGAGCAGAACGGGGGTTTGAAGGGAGGCGTGGACGGTGATGGGGAGAGGGTTTCGGCGGTGTTGAAGGGGCGGACGAGGTGTCCCAGGGGCAGTCAGGCGTGTGACGCGATGAACCTGGGGTGGTTGATGCTTGTGTTTGGCGAGCTGGGGCTGTTGGGGACGGTCATGAAGGAGGATGCTCTTGGGGATGCGAAGCGGCCGGACAGAAGTCTGGCGGAGCTCGTCGAGCTGTTGAGGACCGTCGAGAGCCCGCCGCAGGCTATTCATCGGGGAGGTCTGTGTGACCCGGCATCAAGGCTGAGGGCTGCTGTCAGCGATGTTTACAACAGCGTCTGTGGGCTGACATTGTTTGAGGTCAGCGGACGCGCTCATGGGTGGGGATTGAGTAGGCATCGATCCGGGGAGGTGCAGGCTGTTCTGCAGAGAGGGATGAAGGTGGTTGGGGAGGTGAATAGGCCCGAGGAGCTGAGGCGGGTGGAGGAAGACCGGGAGGCGGAGGAGGCGAGGGGTCAGTCTGGTGTCACGGATGATGTGAGGTTGAGGATCCTGAGCGGTATGGAGAGCGTGGATGACTTACATGCTGCCGCTCTGGCTGACAGGGCGTTTTATCGGGTGTTCAAGGAGAACGAAGGGTTGTTGATGAGGAGGTTCGTCAAGGCGCATCGGAGGAAGACGTTGATGAAGCTGACTAGCATGGATGTCATTGGAGGCGGAGAGCAGAAGGCGATGAAGGGAGAAGGTGACCTACTGAAGATGGAACGGGAGGCTGAAGCCGAGGCAGAGGCTGCGACGGTCGTCGACGGACGCGCACGAGAATGTAATGGGGTTGATGATCTGGTGCTGGGCTTCGGAGGGTTGGGCATGGAGGACGAGGTGGATGAGTTGGTGAGGGGGGTAGAGGTCCTCGGGGTCCGGGTGGACGAGATGGAGAAGGTGCGAAAGGCCGCGGCCTCTGCGCCGCCTTTCCATCAGAGGTCTATGACCTGCGGCGACCTGACGACCGAGAGGATGAGCGACGAGGAAGTCCAGCGGATACTGTGGCCGGACGATCCTTTGCCCGTAGCCACACGGCCGTCGGTGAAGGATATGAAGGAAAAGTTCAGGAGGAGCGATCCTGCTTTTGTCGAGGAGAAGATGCTGCTGGGAATGGAGGGGAAGCAGCTGGGCATTGACAGAGATCGGAGGGTTGGTCTCGTGCGGGATGGAGGGTAGTGTGGTTTTGGCAATGTTGGTGGGGACCTTTTCGTATTAATGAGCTCACGAAGTTATGAGAGGGGCGACGGTTTGGGCACAAGTTTCACGAATTACGATCATGAGGAATCGAGAAATTGTTAGGAGACGGGCACAAGTAGGTGTGGACATGCGAACTTGCACATATCACCAGGGAAGGGACCGTTTAGGATCTCTTTACAAGATAGCAGTTACACAATTCATACTTCCACAAAAGAAACTTTCTTCCGCTCTGATTTAGATGATTCGACTAGCTCAAATGGGAGAATAGACTTCTTTCCTGGCGCGAAGTCCGCACAGCTTATCAGAAATCGGCTTTTGGCCGTCACTACTAGAGGCTTACTCAAGGCTTCGAATAAAAAGAAACAACGCCCTCGTACTGAATATTTA